CTACATGTGTTTGGAATCTAGTCCATGTGGGGAATATCAGTCAGTGTACAGGTGCCTGAACTTCTCCCCAGAGTGTGGTCCTCTGAGTCCCCTGCCAGCATGAAAATCTGTCTCAACACACAAACCTTGTCCTAGTGGGAGCAGAGCTGGTGTCTCATTGCCAGACCCCTAGAAAGAGGCAGAGTGACTGGGTGAGTGGCAGGGATACTGGGCCCCTAGAACCAGAGCCAATGACTGTGAGAGCCACAACCAGGATCCCTGGGCCCAGCCTGGGAGACACAGACTCACTTCCAGGCACTTTCATAATCGCTATCACTGTCACCACCATCACCATGGCCATCCCTCTTGTTACCCTCATCCCTGTCACCATCACTATCATTGTCATCACCATCATCATCTTCACTATAATTTCCCTCACCATCTCCACAGTCACCACCATCACCACCACCACCATCTCCACCACTGCCACCACCATCACTACCACCATCTCCACCATCATCACCGCTGCCATCACCATCAGTGACCTCTCTCCCACACCATACCCAACAGCACTCACCAGCTGCCCCTTGAGGTGCTGAGCAACAGAGCAGGCTGTGGAGATGCTCAGCACAGAAACCAGAACACCAACCAGGGAGGCTGCCCCCACCCTACCCTAGTGTGCTATCCTGGTGTCCAGCCCGGGTCTTTAGTGCCCACTTGCGTGCACATAACATCAGTCTGTAGCCTGTGTCTCCTCTCAGGTGGGGACCCTGGTCCTGCCACTGGGGTGTCCAGGGGCTTGGTGTGCTTTGTCTCCACTTCCTCTCTAAACCCTCCCGGCACCTACAGCCCTGCTGTCTGCAGTGCCTCTGTTCAGGGTCAGGTTGCACACAGTATGCCCACAGCTAGTGGGAAGAGGAGCTGGAATCAGGTCTGTCCACATACTCCCTCTCCTCCTGTGTCCTCCTGTCCCCCACCTAGGTCACCATCATCAAGTAAGCTGCACGACTAGTCACAGATACTTTATATTTTTCTCGTAGCCCTACGATAAAAGTAGAAAAGTAAAATTTAGCTCAACAAAATATTGTATAACCCTGTGTTTATTCCCAAAGTTATCATCTTGATCTGGAACTCTAAAACATTACCAAGACTGTCACCGTCTTGTGGTCCAGCCTGGCTTTGGGATGCGTGTACACCTCCATGGTGCCTTCTGGCCGGGACTGGCTGCATTATGAGTGCCCATGGGCTCCTGCAGCCAGCGGCTCCTGTCTGGGCAGTGCTGGTAGGGCCCAGCACTGAGGGTGGTATTCCAGTGTGTTGATACATGGCTGAGGACACTGTGCCCAGGGCAGAGCGCATACCGGAGCCATGCTGGCTTTATCACATCCGCATACAGGATTGGGCACTCTGCAGAGCCCTGAGTGAGTGGACAAATAGGTCCAAGCCTGTCTCAAGACACCGCAGTGACGTTAGCTGTCCCACGTGGCTAGGAGACTGCAGTCTGCATTTGTCCTTCACAGCCTGTGGCAGGGCCCTTCCTAAGATCTGCAGCTGTGTGTGTGTTTGCCCAGCCACTGGCTGGCACTTTGCATCCTAAGAATCCGGATGGGGTGACCCCCTCCTGTGCCCCTCCCCCTGTCATGCACCACATGCAGGGGAGGTCCCTTTCTGCCCATACTCCCACCTGCACCTGGTACCAGCTGCTCCTGGTACAGGGCTGAGCCAGGAAGGAAGTTCCAGGAACCCTCAGGGGCCCTGATCAGAGAGCTGCAGGGTGGGCTGGGAACATCTGCAAGGCTCTCTCTGATCCAGCTGTGCACCGCAAGTGTAGAGAGGGCTGGGCGTGTGCATTATGTTCTTCAGAAGATACATCTCAGCATGTAGCCAGCTGCCAGAGCGCTGCAGGTGGTTCTGGGGGTGGAGAATTGGTTTTTGTTGCACCCCTGAACATGAAGTGGTTTGTGCATTCAGATGCACAGTGTGTGTGTGTGTGTGTGTGTGTGTGTGTGTGTACAGTGCACATCCTACACATGCAGATGGGGAGAGGGCGAGAGTCTATTCCCAGTGCCTGCAGGCCCAGACTCCAGAGAGGGCAGAAAACTGTCTCATTCTCACGCCCAGCAGCAGGGTGGGCTGGAGGCCTTGGCTTGGACTCCTGCTAATACTGAATTGAGGAGGACCCTGTCACAGCCCTGGCAGAGACTGCGTCTCAGCCTCCCTTCTGCTTGACACTGCACTGTCACTTCTCATTCCCAAATGTGGGTGGACATCAGTCTCACAAGCTTTGGTGTGTTGGGGAATTAGTATCTGTCCTAGGTCCCCCTTGCCCTGCCACTGTCTGCCTTGCCACTGATTTTGGAATGTGGAAATCTCATGTCCACTTGGTCAATGAGATTAGCATCTAGGTGTGGGGATGGAGCTTGGCTTGTTTCCTTTGTGATGTTAAACTTCCCTTTTCCAGCACAGCCTCTGCACTGTTCCAGGAATACACCCTAGGTCCTCCTCAGCGCTGGCTTATAAAATGCTGGCTAGCTGGGGGCTCTGGGCCTTTTGTTCCTAGAAAGTAACTGATGGTCCCAGATCCCTGCTGCGCATCCCTCCACTTTGCCTCTTACTTTTTCTTTCCTTTCTCACCCTGTAACATAACCCAAGGAGGAGATTGGCACCCACTTTGGGATCTCCAATAACTTGCGCCATGGGAAGCGTCTCTAATACTGATGGAACAAGGACCATGTGAGTTCCATTCTGCACAAGGGCTCAGACCCAGTGACCAAGGGTTTGAGCTGCAGAAGGTTGGACCTGAGCTCAAATGCCAGCTCAGGGAGTGGCTAGAGAGTCGCTTCCCTTCTCTGAGCTCTGATTTTTGCATCTTCAGATGCAGAGGGTGGTATCTCCTTAGTGACACTGTTGTAGAAATTTAGTGCCTGTCAATCAGTGCCAGAGGCACCCAGGCAGGACACTTGGTATGCGACACCACTCACCAATGATACCTCCTTTCTCTCAACAAAGAATAAAGAGATTAAAAATAAGCCGTATCTATAGTGCACATTTTTCATAGGTTAAATTCCCAAACACGCATGGCACAGCATCTGCCATCACTACCCCTCCCCACTGGGGTTCCTCTCTCCCTGGTGAGCGCCTCTTTCCCTCCTAGACACCCCCTTTGTGACACTATGTGCATGTGGTGGGGAAGTCCCCCATACTCAGCTTCCTGAAGTGTTCTTGGCCATTCTCACCTCCTTTCCTTCCATATGGATGTTTAGAGTCAGTTTTTCCGTGAACATCCCCATGGGGCCAGATCGGGCTTTTGTTCCTTCTGTGCACTCTCCTATGGAGGCCGTGCAAGGAGTTTGCTAGAAAGAGAGGCTCGGGTTTCTGCACAAAGCCCAGGCCACTACTGTTTGGTGAACTGTGTTCCCAGATGGGGCACTGAGGGTGCCAGGACTCAACTGCCTTGGCTTTGTCACTGGAGCCCAGGAGCATGTGACAAGAATGGGCAGGCAGCTTCCATCTGTCCATGGAGCAGGGCAGGGAGACCTGCTTTCCTGGCAGCCTCTCCTCCAGCCACTCTGTGGGTCCTCTGGACTCTCGGGTTCTCTACCTTTGTTATAGGTCTCCCCTGGTAGAGCCTCAGCTTTGTCCCCAAGGTGTCCCCAGCCCTGCCTGCTCTGGGGAGGTGACCAGGTTCTAGCGTGCTCTAACTCCAACTACCCTCAGCTACTCACCTCTTCCCCATGCACACCTGGTCCTACTATCCATGGTGCCCTTCGGGCCTGTCCCAGAGTATGAGACCAAGCTACCCTGGAATGGCTCCTGACTCGTAACCTCAGAAAAACGGGAGGCTTTGCCATCAAAGACCCGAGTGTGATGCTGCCGCTCTCTCCTTAGGAGACCTGGGCAGGGCTCTGCCTGCCCTAGGCCCCATTCTTCCCTCTGTGAGTGGAGCGAAGCTCTCTTCTGCAGGGTGGTAGAACCCTGGCTCCCAGCAGACCCCATGGAACCAGGAGAACCAGATGGGAACTGGATGATCTCTGTGCAGTGCAGCCACATGGACACCCAGAGGGACAATTTCTGTCTTCAGACCCACCGAAGGCAGCTCTCAGCCTCAGCTTCACAGAATCTCTGAGCTCCAGGCAACTAGTTTGGCTGTGCCTTAGTGTTCCCAGCCATGAGTGGGCATGCTGATCCCTGGGGAAGCTGTCAGCATGAGGCAGAAACAACAGTCCTCTTGCCTCTGCTCATTGGCCCAGACAGAGGACTCTGTGCCAAGGCTGGGGCGGGGTCTCCTGCTCAGCAGCAGCTACCCAGCTGCCCACCACTGCCTGTGCCCTGCTGGCCTTGCTCCTGTCCTGTGTCCATGCCACTTGCAACCTGGGTTTGTGCTGCCACGTGTCCTGCTCCCTGGCTCTTCCAGGGCAGTACTGACTTTGGTCCCCCTCCTGCTGTGTCCGGGGTACAGGAGTGGGAGAGGCTCCTGGGGTGTCCTCTGGAAAGCTCCTGACTTTCCTGTGGGACCCAGGCGCTTCCCCTAAGAACTGCAGCCCACAAGCAGCAGTGGATGAGAGGTGTTTGCTCAAGTGAGAGCCTTTGGTGAAAGCTGGCACTTTCCCTTCCAACTTTCCTTGGCATTTCCTGTGGCATCTCCAGGGTAACAAGTCTCAGTTTTCAACCTGAAGCTTCTAGGGGCCCCCAACCATGGCCACCCTTGGTGCTGCTCTGATAGGGCACATGACCAAACCAAGGTCATTCCGCCAGTGTGACAAAGCGGACCCCCACTTCTGTCCCAGGACCCTTCTGTTTCATTTCAGTGGAACAGAGAGAAATGTAGGACTTGTTTGGTTTGTCCCTAAGGACACCCCTTGTCCTCCCAGCCAGGTCCTGCTGACCCCACAGCCCTGCTCCAGCCCTGGTCCATAAGAAGGCATCATCTCCACCCTTCCCATCCTGTTCCGGGCTCCGGCTCCCAAGGCAGGGCAGAGGGAAGGGAGCACCAAGCTCTGGGCCCTTGGGCCAGCACTCACCGTGGCCAGGATGCTGCCTGCGGCTGCTGCCGTCACTGCTGCCAGCGCCCAAGAGAGGAAGCACTGCATGCCTGGGAGCCGGGGGCAGAGGCATCCACTGAGGAGAGCAGAGGATCCCACCGCCTCTCTGGGGAGCTGGGCCCAGACTGGCCCGGCCCATCGGGAGTGCAGCTGTCCCTCCTCTGCAGCCCTGGGGGGTTTTGTTAAAGCAAGATCTGACGTCAGAGCAAAGGACAAACCCTGCGTTTTCCTCTGAAAAACTTTTCCTGCCTCCTTTGCTTTTTTCCCCTTTCTTCCCTGGTCCCCACCTCCAGCTTGGCCCCAGCCCCTGGATGACGGCTCTTAAAGGGAAAGCTTCGGGGCTGGGGTTTCAGGCAGCCTGGATTCCGCCAAGACCGTGCAGGAAGGTGGGGAGGGGCAGGAGCAGCAGAGGGGATGCGGGCACACGGGCGGGCAGAGCTGGGGGTCAGAGGGCTCCTCCGGGAGGCACCCCTGCCCCACCTCCATCCTCACTGCCCTTGCCCCCACTGCAGGGAGAGGAAGGGCTTCCAGACTTGGGGGCCCTGAGAAAGGAGCATTCACAGGAGAACACGGCCCAGGAGCACATGTCCCCACCCTCAGGGAACCTGTCCTGCCCTTTCCTGCCGGGGCAGAGTCCCCAGTGCTGTGGCTCTGCGCTCTCCTCACCCCTGCTTGTGGGGAAAGGAGGTGGGAGGGCGAGGGGCCTTCTCCAGGATTGGGCCCAGCCACAGCTTCCTCTGGACCCCACCCTGGGCTCCTGGCACAGCCGCTTTTTTCCTCTGTCCTGTCAGAGCCACCAGCACTGACATAGCTGCAACCACCACCAGTATAGTAAGCTCAGCTCCTGGGCCCAGTGTTCAAAGCCTGCCTGCTCTTCTGCATGTGGGATGCAGCCCTGGTCCAGTACCTGCGACCCCATCCCTCCACAGCTTCTCTCCCTCACCCCTCAGAGACAGTGACACCCAGAGCTGACCTGCTCACACCCCGGAGCCCTGCTAAGCCTCCTTTTTCTGGAACTTATTAACAAGGGGGTGAGCAAGGGTGTGTGGTTACTCTGAGAGGCCCCAGGCTTTTGCCTCCAAAGAACTTCATGATCATTCTAGTTACAAGTGGTGATTCGGATGATTTCTCCACTGGTTACATTGGAATCGGTTGCCAGTCTAATCCCAGCCAATGATACATAAAGGGAAATTTATTAGGAGTGCCTGTAAAGGCTCTTCCTCCTCAAGAAAAGAAAGAACAAGTCTATTCATCTTAGTGTTTTCTACTATGTAAAGTTGATGGCTGGAACTACAGCAGCCATTCTGGTATATGTGGCACAAGCTTGAGACTAAAACATCAATTACTAAGGGTGTCAGGACAAAAGAAATAAAAAGATCCTGATCTCGGTACTTTATGTTGTTACTGAACCAAAATTGGAATCATTACTTCCAAACTTCTCATTGTAAAACTTAATCTAATTACTTATTCTTTAAGTCATATTTAGAAAATTAGATTTTTGTTCTTTGAAGCCAATTTCTTACTAATCTATACATAAGGACTGACTGAATTGGTACAGGTAAAACAGAAGTCAGTCTTCAGTTGCTTCTCATGGACCAATTCAATGCTCATAAAATGAATCCCCAGTGGCCAGCATTGTAGACCGGTTCAGGGAATCACCCAAGTACTGTGGGCCAGTCCAGGTTCAGCAGCCTTTCAATGGGTACCAAATGCAGACCGGCTCTGTGTTAGGAAGGTCCCAGGGTCCCAGGGTTCTAGGAAAGATCACGACCTTGTGGTGTGGACAGGACAGGCGCTTAGGAATACAGGCTGATTTCAGGGTGCAGGTTCCTGGCTGAAACCTCGGCGGTCCCCTAGCTCCACAAGCCATCAAGATCAGTCATCTCCAGGCTGACCTGAGCTTCTGCTGCCTCTCTGTGTCCTGGAACAGGAGCTGCTGGGGTGCAATAAGGGGACCTTGTGTAACATTCAGGAAACGTAGTCGCTATGAGTCACTGGGTCAGACTCCCGAGAGCATCAGAGCTCTGGGTATATGTGTCCACCTGCTGGAGACCACACAGCTGCCCTTGATCTCCTCGGGCAGCTGCCAGGCTGCACTTCATTGGGGGCTGGGAGGTGACCAGGGACCAGGTTGTACACTCGGGGAGCAGGCAGAGCCCTGCGGTGACCAGCGCCGCCTCTCGTGGGGCCTCAGGAGGACAGCAGCCTGCGGCACCTCTGCTCTTTCTTCCAGCTTGGGACGTTGGGGGACCATGAACTGGGGCTGCATGTGTGCTGACCTTCTGGTTGGGAGAGCCAGAGTGAGTCACAAACACACCCTGCCCCTTGCCGAGGATCAGAGCCAGGTGACACCTCCTGTCTCAGTTCACTCTCCTGCCAGCCTCCTGTTTCGTGGTCAATCCCTCCCTCAGATGAGGAAACAGAGGAGAGGAGAGTCCTGCTGTGCCTGGCAAAGCTGACATCAGAACTCAGATCTGGCCATCATCTTTCCCGAGGGGACCTCATCGTCCTGCGTGTTGAACAATAACTTAATACTCAGAGAATGAGCTAGGGTGGTGGATGGAAAGACAGCTGTCAGAGTGCAGGCTTTGATATGAGCAGGAAATACCAAGGGCAGGCTGGTTTCTGGGGCGCAGTGCTGAGGCTCCAGGGCATGGCACCTGCCTGGGCTGGCTCTGGTGCGGGGCCCAGTGACTATGTCTTGTCATGGTGGGGCATCTGTGATCAGAAGGAAGGAGGTGACCTGTCTGGAGGAAAGAGCCTGGGCTCCCACAGTCTCTTCTGAGGACACAGTTGCAGTGGACTGAAGACCTTCTGGTAAGGCCCCACCTCGGGGCAGTCCCTCTACCTCTCAGGGGCACCCCTCTGAGAGACGGACAGTGAAGAGTGACGGAGAGAACCGGCAAAGTGCAGGATGGATGAGGAGGTGAAGGGGTTGAGGAAAGATGAAGAAAAAGAAGGAGAAAGGCAGAGAGGGAGGGAGGGAGAGAGGCTGGCTGGAAGGAGAGAGACATGTGCACATGTGGCCAGCCAGGCTGTGCTCCTCACTGTCTCTGGAAGGCACAGCCTGCAGGGGTCTTCGGACCCTTGCTGAGCAAGGAGGGAGGGAAGGGTTCAATGTTGTGTCCTTCACCGCCCCTCCAGCAACCCCACACAGCCTGTACAGGCCCAGTGCGGAGTCCTTCTGGGATGCAGGGCTCTACTGTCACTCGTCACCTTAGCTGATGTCATTCCTGTGTAGTGGATGATCCAGTGCTGGCCTCAGAGGCCTGATCGTCATGCTGTGTGACCTAGAAGAGCTCACATCACCTCTTTGCTCTGGTTTTCTCATAGATGAAGTTGGGGTAAAATTTGTACCTTCTGAGCAGCTCCTGGGACCCCTGCTTTGGTAAACACTCAGCACAGAGCCCAGGCTCAGGAACCCCACTGTGCAAAGTTCCCTTCCACTTGGGCCCACAGTAGGAGGGCAGCATCTGGCCTGGGTCACCTCTGTGCCTCAGACTGGGCCTGCCAGGCATCAGCACCTCAGATGGATGGAAGGACAGCTTCCGCCTCGGACCCCTCCTTCCTGCTTCCCCTCCAGGCCTACATCTGGCAGCACTTCCAGGGGTCGGCGACTGTCTCCCAGACCTCCACCGCGGGGGCAACAAATTCCAGAGGGGCTGGCGGGTGGCAGACTGTGCTTACACCAACCAGGAGGCCCCTGAGCTCAGCTAGCTGCGGGAAAGATTCCAGCGTCTGTCTGGAGAGCAGGCACTAAGGCTCTGAGGCTGCCATCTGCGTCAGATCTGCTCATGGCCTGTTAGTTTGTCATTTACTTGTCCCATGCACGTGCTCAGAGCCCACATTGTGTGCTCTGGGGGAGGCCCAGAGGCACGTGGCACACACCTGTCTCTCTGGTGCCCCAGTGGGGCATGACCTCATCTGGGCTTCCAGGGAGTGTAGAGGAGCCATCGAAGAAAAATCCTGGCTCCAGACCTAGGTCCAGGGCAACCTCGTGTCCTCTTCAAGTTCAGCTCTGGAAGCTGGAATCACTGGGAACCGTTTGCTGGTGCTTCTTGGGCCATGGCTGACCTGGGCAAGAGGTGGGCACTGGGGAGATGGAACAGGATGGAACAGGATGCATGGATGAAGGAATGGATGCATGGCTGGTGGGTAGGGCTGGGAGAGTGGACGGAAGTGTGCACTGGCTCTGGCTTGTCTATCCTTCCTGGGTGATAGCAGAAGGGATGTCAGATGAAGAAATGCAGCTGGAGAGTTGCCGAGTCAGCTGGCCACAACATCTGAGCATTTAGGGTCTGCAGCTTTATCTGCCTCCACCGTTCCCAGGAAAATAGGCTGAGTGGAGGGAGAGCGAAGAGGAGAGGCTCTCTCCACTGCGCAGCAGGGGCGGGTGTTGGAGACAAAGCCACCGCGATCCAGGTCCTCACCCAGTGCAGAGATGCAGGGATGGAGGGTGGAGAGCCATCACTGGTGCTGAAGGCAGCACCGCAGAGCAGGTGAAGGCTCTGTCCCCCACGCCTGCTGCTCTGAACTCCCTGTGCCTTCCCCGCACCCAGTGGAAGTGAGGTCACCCTCTGCATGAAGTCACCTCAGCCTGCAACCAGAGTTTTCTCCCACAGGCCAAACAGTCATTGTGGAGTTTACATACAGAACATGAATGTCCAGTATGTGGATAACCTGACAAGTCTCTCACAAGATCCTGGCCTGTTTGGGGACAAAGATGATGGTCTACTCATCTCTGTGTGCTGTGAGCTCAGTATCTGGGCCCCTGTTCAAGTTTAGGGTTTACACAAAGGCCAGGAGGACTGGAAAGAGGAAAAGAGGGAGTAGGAGGGAAAGAGAAGAGGAAGAGAAAGTACAAATGCATGAACAAGAAGTACAAAGTGAATGGGTCTGGACAATTGATGTGTGGAAGAAGGGGTGGATAGATGGGTGTTTGGGTGGGTAGATACATGGATGGATCTATTTGGAGTCTGCAAATTATAGGGATGGCAGGGCCAGCTCTGTGGTTAATGCTCAGAAGACAAGAAGGTCACCCAGTTGTTTGCTGAAGGAATTGGCCCTAAAACTCTAAAGACCCAACTCTTAGCTCTGAATTTCAGCATTTATCACATGAACATGTGGAGTCCCCTTGTCCCTTGAAGGTTTCCTTCATGGCACCCAGCCTTCCCTATGGTCTAGTTCTGCAATACTCTCGGGCACTATCTCGCCATGAGGTCTAGGCCGGTCTCGGCCA